ATTTTGAGTAGTTTGGAGAACCGGCAAATACCACCTCTGGCTGGCCCCGCCCCCATCTATTATTTGCCTCCTGAATCCCAGCTGATCAAGCGGAAATGGGGATTTTGCAGTAACCTTCCTCTGGAGTGGGGAGGGAATGAAGATTTTGCAATATCCTTCCCCTGCCATGCCTACCAAACCACGCCCACAGAACTGGTAGTAAAAAAAATTGCATTTCACCACTGGCTCAACCATGTGTCCATGTAGTTCACATTTTAAATCAGGCAAAACAATAGGAACCTCTGGGATATCCTTCATTTGGGGAAGGCCAGTAAAGAGGTTGCAAATGTAATTTGCAAAAATATGGTGGAATAAAAGATTTACACTGGGAGTCATTCCTTCTTTTCAAGATGTTAGTAGCTTTCTTTTCTGGGATTTAAGGAGGTTCACCAAAATGGATAAAGAACAAAGACATCCCTGGCTCTAACTTGGCTTGTAAAAACTGAATCCAGGGCAGTTTTGTGGTGCATTACAGAAGTAGTTTTATGTTGGCTTTTCACGGTTTTTCAATTGTTTTGCCTAGGAAAGACATAAGAGGGGTTAGCTAAGGGTCCCTTGTCCTGTGATTAATCAGGACTGAACCTGCTTACCTGAGAAGATCAGCTGTGAGCACCTGATTAATTTACCATAATAACATGAAATTAGGAATACAATTACTACACATATAACCATTTTCATGGAGGCTTTAGGGAGAACCTGCTGCTCTTCAGCGCCTAGATCAGGGGTGGGGAACTATGGCATTTTATGACTTGTGGACTTCAACTCCCAGAATTCCTGAGCCAGTCATGCTGACTCAAGAATTCTGGGAGTTGAAGGCCAGAAGTGATAAAGGGGCCCTTAGTTCCCCACCTCTGGCCGAGATGGAGACAGTGTTTTGTGTACCCTCCCCAAGGTTGGGTCGCCCGCCAGTTTTACTACCGATTCGCAATCTGCACACCAGACGTGTGTGCGTGCACTGTTCAATGTAAATTGTTCTTCGCGCATGCAAGCCAACCCTCCCATCCACAGTCACTCATCTTAACAGTTCAGTTGTAGCCTGTTGTCCCCCATCTAGACTCCTACAGCCTCCAAGCATCATGAGAACACATTTATAGCATCACTTACTTCACCCAGGACAGAGATGTACACCTGGGTATCATCTGCATACTGATGATACCTCATCCCATAGCTACAGGTGATCTCACCCAGCAGCTTCAAAGAGATGCAAAAAGAAGAAGAACAAAGGGAGCATTGAGCCCTGCAGCACCTTACAAAGCAGGATCACAGGCTGGACCTCTCTATTGATTGGGATCAGTCCCAGATGAAGACTGATAAATCAGCACAAAACTGTGCCACTCATTCCCAGTTCTTGAAGTCAAGATACCATGGTTGATGGTTTCGAAAGCTGCCAAGAGGTCAAGATTAGCTATGTTGGAGGCACTATCCCCATCCTGCTCCTGCCAGAGGTCATCCAGAATAGAGTTGGGTTGCTTCCGGTTCGATCCAGATTGGACGAACTGGTAGTGGGACAGCAGAAGGCTTCACCCACCCGCCCGGACGTGAGCACGAGTGAACTGGTAGTGCCGGGATTTGCAACCCACCTCTGATCCAGAAACATAACTAATGTTGGTTTTGATTCTGCTCCTTCCTCATCTAGGTTCCTGCGTCCTTTGGGGAGGTGGCCATCCATTTCAACAGTGAAGAGTGGTTGCTTCTTGATCCCAGCCAGAAAGCCCTGCATGAAGAAGTCATGTTGGAAACGTCTAGGATGGTGGCCTCTTTAGGTAAGGGTTCCTCTAGAAGAACATTGTCACATTGAAGAGTCACTAGATGGCTTATTTATATATTAGGAAATGATGTTAAAATGACTTCTCTTTTTTTCTTATATTAATTCCTCCACTGTTGTCTAAGTACCACAGCTAGAAGAAAGAGGTTAGTCTGATGTCCAGTCACTCTAGAAAGGGTTGGTATGCAGTCGTAGGATGTTCTTTGGGCCCCGTGAGGTGCTGAATAATAATAATCAAGGAGAGGATGTTTTTTGCTTATTTCACAAGCCCTAATCAGCACCATATTTCCTCTTACAATGATATTGAAATGAGGTGTATTGTCAGCCCTGGAGCCATCTTTAGCTTGGAATCTTCAGGGCTGCCAGAGCGGTGGATGGGCAAGCTGTGGGAACAGGAGGGGTGTGTAGAGACAGTATGGGCGTATAGCCATAACATTCTCCCCTTGGGAGTCACGGACATTCAGCCTGCACCTGGGGAGGTGTGACTGGGAGTCAGCTACAGTTGGGACAGTGACCTGATTGTACCATGTGACACCCATGTGAATGCAGGGGAAGGAAATTTGACTTTATTTGGGTGGGGAAAACCCCGGGGGTTTCAGATTCAGGTTTTCCCAGATGTGCCAATATGAATGACATTTCTAATAAATTCAAGCTTTGAGGAAAATGCCTGCCTTGGAGTTCTGAATTCATTGGGGATGTTACTTGGAACGCTGATATGTATATTGTGTCATTGGATGCAACTTACCATATTTTTTCAGAGTATAAGACACACCTTTTTCCCCCAAAAAAGAGGATGAAAATCTGGATGCGTGTTATACACCGAATACGGCATTTTTAGCCTCCTGAAACCCTGCTCCCTTTGCAAAACTGGCAGTCCATAGCCTTTAGGAGGCTTCCAGAGTGCTCATGGGGGTTGGGGAGGGCAAAAATGAGTGAAAAACAGGCCGTTTGTTTGCTCATTTGCGCCCCCCCCCCCAGCCCCCAGGAACACTCTACAAGCCACCTAAAGGCTATGCATGCCCTTTTTTGACCCCAAAACGAGCCTATTTTTGCAAAAAAAGGGGCTGTTTTGGGGGGGTCTGCAGAGTGCAAAAACTTTTGTTTTTAATTTGCTTCTTCAAAATCTTGGTGCGTCTTATGCTCTGGTGCATCTTATACTCTGAAAAATATGGTAGGTACATCATGTTCTGACTATGTGTGTTTATTACATCATGATGTTAAGATCTGAGCTGCAGAGCACTGTATAGGTTGTTGTTATCATGTTGTTTTAAATTGCTGTAAACCATCCAGAATTACATGAGATAAGCACTCATGTCAACCTTTTTAATTAATAAATAATATTCATGCTGTCCTTTACCCTGCTGCTCCCCTGCAATTGCCAAAGAATAGATACAGACAAGATCACGGGCATCAAACTTGCCACAGCATGTTGCTGTCATGCGATATTTTGGGACGTTTTTCCCCTGCGCAGAGCTGGGGTGGGTGTGGCCTGCATGTGACGCATCCGGCCTGCAGGCCATCAGTTTGACACCCTTCAGCTAGAGACTTTCATGGGGAAAACCAGTGGTATGTGGAAGACTTTTCTGATTTCTTTTTTTTTTTTCCCTCAAGCATTTGATGAGCCGGATACTGAAAATTATCAAGAGCCAGGTGTGGTGCCATCACAAATAATCAAAATTGAAATACAAAGAGACACATCTGCAGATATGTGTGAAAAAGGAAGATATAAGGAAAACCAATCTTACAATTGGAGAGGAAAATCCATTCTTGAATGCACAGAAATGGATAACTTCCTGACCCAACAGGATCGTAAAGAAAGCAGGGTGGAAAAATATCAAGGAAGTGATGAAATACTTCAAGCAAAACCCAACTTCAGTAACCAGTGCAAGACTGGAAAAAGTTTCAGCAATAACAATAACATTATTCCCCATAAAATGATCCATGCAAGGGAGAAGCCCTATAAATGTGTGGACTGTGGAAAGAGTTTTAGGTGGAGAGGTAATCTAACTACCCATATAAAGATCCATTCACGGGAAAAACCCTATAAATGCACAGACTGTGGAAAAAACTTCAGCATGAACAGTTCCCTTACTTCTCATAAAAGGATCCATACAGGGGAGAAACCGTTTCAATGCACAGTGTGTGGAAAGAGCTTCAGTTTGAACAGGTGCCTTGTTTCTCATAAAAGGGCCCATTTAGGATTGAAACTTTATATATGCCATGAATGTGGGAAAAGTTTTATTTTGAGCAGCTCCCTTACTAATCACATGGGTACTCATACCAAAGAGAAACTATATCACTGTACTGACTGTGGGAAAACCTTCAGGTGGAAAAGTCACCTTACTTCCCATGAAAGGATGCATACAGGGGAAAAACCATATGAATGCAAGGACTGTGGAAAAAGCTTCAGTATGAGTAGTTCTCTAACTTCTCACCAAAAGATACATACGGGAGAGAAGCCCTATCAATGCATATTATGCGGGAAGAGCTTTAGGTTGAAAGGTCATCTTACTTCCCATAAGAGGATGCACACGGGGGAAAAACCTTATCAGTGCATGGACTGTGGAAAGAGCTTCAGTATGAGTAGTTCTCTTACTTCTCATAAAAGGATTCATACAGGAGAGAAACCTTACCAATGCTTGGAATGTGGGAAGAGCTTCAGCAAAAGCAGTATTCTTAATTCCCATAAAAGGATCCACACAGGAGAAAAACCCTATAAATGTCTGGATTGTGGAAAGAGCTTTAGCAACAGGAATCATCTGACCTCTCATAAAAGGGTCCACACAGGAGAGAAACCCTTTAAGTGCACAGAGTGTGAAAAGAGCTTCAGTTATAGTGATTCCCTTGCTTCTCATAAAAGGATCCATACAGGAGAGAAACCTTACAAGTGCTTGGAATGTGGAAAGTCCTTTATTCAGAGCAGTCACCTTACTTCCCATAACAGGATGCACACGGGGGAGAAACCATATAAATGCATGGAGTGTGGACGGGGCTTTAGCAGCAGCAGTTCCCTTATCTGCCATAAAAGGATCCATTCGGGATTGAAACCTTATATATGCAAAGAATGTGGGAAGAGTTTTATTTCAAACAGCTCCCTTACTAATCACATTAGTAGCCACATAACTGAGAAACTGTATCAATGTACAGAGTGCATGAAAAGCTTCAGGTGGAAAAGTCAACTTATTTCCCATAAGAGAATACATACAGGGGAAAAACCCTACCAGTGCATGGATTGTGGAAAAAGTTTCAGTCTGAACAGTTCCCTTACTTCTCATAAAAGGATCCATACAGGAGAGAAACCATATAAATGCATAGAGTGTGGGAAAAGCTTCAGCAAAAGCTGTAACCTTACTTCCCATATAAGGATCCACACAGGAGAGAAACCCTATCAGTGTACAGAGTGTGGAAAGAGCTTCAGTTTGAACAGTTCTCTTACTTCTCATAAAAGGATCCATACAGGAGAGAAAAAAATATATATTAATGATGCGTGGAAAGAACTTAATGTGGAACAATCAACTTATTTCCCATAAAAGGACCCATATAGGGAAGATGCCTTTAGCGATTAAAGTGTCCTTAGTTCCTGTGAAATCATTCATTGTGATATCAAACATGCACTGTAAAGACATGGAATGCAGAGGACTTCAATCAAGATTTTTTAACTGATTTCTCTTAAAAGGCATCATTCGAAGGAAATAGGATGATGTAAGCAAAGTAGTGTGAGAAGTGCTATAAAGTTTTTTTTTAATTGTTCCTTTGAGATACCATATTTTTTGGATTATAAGACACACCAGTGTATAAGACGCACCAAGATTTCAAAGAGCTAAATTAGGAAAAAAGTTTGTGTCCTCCCCGGCCCCCAGGAGCACTCTGCAGACTTCAGCAGAGCTCGGGGAAGGGAAAAATGCCCCAGTTTTTTGCCAAAAAGGGGGCATTTTTCCCTTCCCCCAGTCCTGCTGAAGCCTGCAGAGTGCTTCTGGAGTGTGGGAGAAGGCAAAAACGTCCCAATTTTTGTGAAAAAAATGGCGGGGCTTTGGAAGGTCAAAAATAGCTGTATTGGTGTATAAGACGCACCAACATTTCTTCACTCTTTTTTTGGGGGGGGGGAGAGGAATGTGTATCTTAGACTCCAAAAAATACGGTAGTTCTTTTGCAGGATTTTTGGCAATGTTTTTGGAAGTGGTTTGCCATTATAGCGCTGAGAGAGTGACTGACCTAAGGTCTCCCATCTGGCTTTGTGCTTAAGGTGAGAGTTCTCTTACCTCCTGTGAAAGGAGCCATACAGGAGAAACCCAGAAATGTGTGTCTGGAAGAGAGTTTGTAGAGTAGCAGTCTTATTTTCCATGAAAGGGGAAACTATATAAATTTAAGAAATGTAGTAACAATTTCAGTACTCTTATTTGCAGAAAAAGTTTCATGCAGGAGAGACAGTACAGTATGGATGTATGTATGAAATACATAGAAAATCACCTGTTGATCTGTCTTACTTCCAAGAAAAGGATCTGCTTTAAGGATGCAGGCATACAAGGTTCCTATGAAAAGAGATTGAGGTAGTCTTCCTTCGTTTGGAAGATCTCCACAGGAAAAACTGAATAAATGGAAAGAGCTGCCAGGATATATGTCTTAATTCCAGAGATATTACCTCCTAGTTATGTCTGGCTCATGAGAATCTGTTATTAAAATGTCCCATTCATTACACCAAAATCTCTGCCTGGTCATATGGGTTTATCTAGGCAGAAGCAACATCTGAACCAAGTCCGGGATCAGGCTCCAAGCTTTGTGGAGAGCTGTGCAAGCAAAGGTGGGGAAAACTTTTGTGCATTTTAGCTGTAACTACTGAAAATACCTGCTTTCCTTAAACACATAACAAAGTATAAGCTTTGTTTTTAAAGCAGTGAAAATCTCTCCCAAATGTTTATATGACTGTTTACCTTAGTAGATCTCTGGGTGCAAAATCACATTAATCCTGCTGAAAACAGACGAGCAGTTTATGCCTCTTTACTTTGAAAATGGTTTATTGATTCCACAGTGTATCATTTGAGCAATATTTTTAAATAAAGGAGCGAGTTCAACCGAATTGTTTCTTCGTATGTCTTCAGTTCTGAGCAAGGCAACCAGAATATTTTCTAGTCTGTTATCATGAAGAAATAACATTCAGCTAAAAGGGAGTTCTTTATGGATTTTTTTGGTGTTATATTCCAGAACTACTGTGTTTCTCAAGGGTTTTGATGTCACTTTAGTGCCTCTGTATTAGTTAAGGTGGATTCCTGAATTTGTGATATCAAGATGATCAGAAAAGTCAATCCTATTTGAAGTTTGAGAGGACTAGGCCATTACAAACCTGAGAAGCCTTGTCTGACATGATTTTGTCTGTGCTTTTAATTTTAATGTAGATTTTTTTTAAAAAAGTTTCTGTATATCCTGAGTATTAACTATATTCTGCTTTTGAAGGAAATTATTTGGAACAGTTGTGCAGTGTAAATGTTGTAAATGTAACATACACCTAACGAAGCTAAAAGAAAAAAGTTTAATGTGTTCCAAAGGTGCTTTTTCAGAAGGCAACTGGACTTTCTTGTTTTTTCTTTGAAGACATTTGACTACTCATCAAAGAAGTTTCATCAGCTCTGATAGGATAGTGGAGGATGGAAGAGTTTATGCGCCTTCAAGACAGCTGGCCATTTGCATCCTTTTAGAGGGTCATTGAAACACTTGGAGGTTTATCTCTGTCCTTAGGGTCAACTGACTGATGCTACTAGAGCACTAGAGTGTAGTGCTCTAGTAAAGTAGTTCTCCAGACTACAAGAACCAGAAGCACCACTCAAGTGGCCCTGAGGACATAGATAAACCTCCAAGTGCTTCAAAGACTCTCTAAAAGGATGCAAATAACCAGCTGTCGGCAAGGAATATAAATCCTTCCATTCTCCACTGTCTTGTCAGAGTTGAAGAAGCTTCTTGGATGAGAAGCGAAAGGTCTTCAAAAGAAAAAACAAGAAAGTCCAGTTGCCTCCTGAAAAAGCACCTTGGAGACAACCATGACCTGGATGACTGAGAATCTCTATAAACTTTTAGTTTAATGTGTTGGAGAATCTTCAGTGAGAGTAGAATGGAATAGGACCTAGAAACTTGTTGAAAGAGATGGAATGATTTCAGATATGACGCTTTTCAAAGAATTCACATTGTAGAGGCAATGATGCATAAAAATCCATGGAATATGAGAAAGGCCTTAGCAAATAGATCTATCTATAAACAAAGAAAAGTCTATAAAACATGGGAAGTATTCTCTTATATAAATGTATGGCATTTGTTAGGAACGTTCATATTTATGTCATTTTAACATAGAGAAATTATGTGTATTCAGAGTGCTTTAGTTGAAGCCATCATGTTTTACATCAGAGGACTCAAAGGGGTACCAGAGAATTGAAATTTTTAGCGACTTTCTATCAACTGAAGGTACATTTGAATGGTTAAAAAAAATGACTTGCTTAATCATTAATTTTTATATTTGTGGTGTCCTTGGGAAGAGGGGAACCTAAACAATGACATGCCCCAGAGGAGGGTGTGACCCACAAGCAATAGGCCCAACTTTGGTAAGGCAAGAAGGAGCTTCTCCAGAAGCCCAATTAAGTAAAGAGGAGGGAGAGAGAAAAGGGAGACTTTGGGATTTGTCTTGGAGAAGCTCAAAAGATCCCCATTTGTGGTGTTTTCTATTGTGGTTTCTAGTGCTGGAGGCTAGCTGAAGGCTTCATGCTCATCCAGGTAGAGGAATGTTAAGAAGGGTAGCTGGTTAATCCTTTTGCAGTCCATAAATTCTGCAGGTTATTTTCTTTTTATCCAGAGCTAAAAGTGAGGATGTTTTCCAAACCGGTTTGTCACCCCTGGGATGCAGAACAGAAATCAACGGATGGTTTGACATTTGATTTTCATGCTGTGACCTCAAGTGCCCTGAGTGACATTTTGTCCAAGCCAATCTTTCCTTAACGGGGTCCTTTTCCAATGATACTCCACCAGGAGACCCCCACTCCATCCTGACACCACCAAGCATGATGAGGAAAACTAAAACAATAATAAAGACAGGCAATCAGAATAGAACTGGAAGGGACCTTCAAGGTCCTCTAGTCCAACCCCCTGCTCAAGCATGAGTTTCTATTACCCTTTCAGGTAGGTGGCTGTTCAGTCTTTTCTTAAACCTCCACTGATGAAGCACCCACAACTTCTGGTGACAACCTGTTTCACTGGTTAATTGTCATCACCATTAAGAAATTTCTCCTTAATTCCAGGTTGCTTCTTTCCTTCATTAGTTTCCATCCATTGTTTCTTGTCTTACTTTGTGATGCTTTGGAAAAT